GGAAGAACAGAAACAGTGGTGAAAGGATCTCTTTGACTTCACTTTACATTATTTTCGTGTGGGGCTGAGAGATAATGAGACAAGCTGTGGTCACGCCTACCCTTGCTTCCGGTTTCTCCGGTGTGATGTCACGAAAGAGCAGCTGAGAGGTCTCGTGTTTGTCTACTTTCTGTTGTTTGTTTGTTTTTTTCCCCTGGGTGTGTCACAACATGGTGGAACCAGATGCTCGTCATTTTTTAATTTAAAAAAAAAAAATTTTTTTGGGGGGGTATACGGAGTTACGAATATCATCTTAGTTTGTTTGACTTGTAATTTTTTTTTTTTATGTACCCATCTATCTTGTGTGGATGTCAATATAATATAATAATATAATTTGCAGTTGAAGAAGATAGTGTCGTCTGGTGTCAGAGGTAAAATTAGTGAGAAAATGGCCGCATCCCAAGTTTGAGTTTCCTTTATTTGTTTGTATTTTGTTTTATTTTTTGCTTTTTTGAATTTTGAATTTTTTGAATTTTTTTTTGGGGGGGGGTTGTTTGTTTTTTCATTTGTTTTTGTTTTTTCATTTTTTTACATTTTAATTTTATTTTATTTTATGTTATTGCGGGGGAGGGTGGTAATACTGTGGGTACTGCCTGCTTCGTGTGGTTGACGTTTCTGATAAGGCCCCATCGTCCTTTCTGCAAGGTCTCGTATCTATCGTCGAACCCCCCTCCCCACCCCAGACTCAGCCGTTTTAATTTGTTTTCTGCCTCCCTTCCTGCTGTGGTGATACTTTCCCCTCCTCACCAAATGACTTTATGTAAATAGGTGGTTGGCGGGTGTTCTGGTTTGGTTTGCTCCTTCTTTCCTATAAAACATTCTCATCTCGCTTCCTTCTTTGTGAATTGGCTACTCTCTTGCAATACGTCTTATAATCGGCACATATATGACCTTAATGTATACGTTGCAAGAGCCGTAAAACTCTAACTTAAACGAATCATAGACGTCCTGTACCTGGTGTCCTCTTTTTTCCCTTTCATCTTTCTTTTTTTTTTACATTTTGTCCAGTGATTCGTGTCACTCTATGAGCCCGAAACAACAGAGATATCGAGGTGGCTGGTGGGTGCTCTGGTTTGGTTTGCTCTTTCTTTCCTATCAAATATCTATAGTCCTTATCTCTCTTTCTTTTTTTTTTCTTTTTTTTTTTTGTTTATCTCTTGTGACTCCTTTAATCTTTGGTACTTATATGACCTAATCGTGTTGCAAGAACCGTTAAACTTTTACTAAAACTGAAAGAGATATCATGTATAGATTGATTTTATCTGGACATAGACTTTTGCTTTAGTGTTGCACTGTCTGAGCCATGATCTTTCTTTCCTACAGGCTCCTTGGACACAACAAATTAGCTGATCATTAATCTCCTCACCACCACCTCCTTAGGCTGTCAGATCTACATGTATCTCCATGTCACGAGCATCTTATGGGCCTATATTTCAACCACCACAACTACTTCAACTATCACCATCATCATCATCATTATCATCATCATCACCATCATCATCATCATCATCATTATTATTAATATTATTATTATTATTATTAAAAGTATTAATTTTTTAAAAAAATTATTATTACTATCTTCATCATCATCATCATCCTCATCATCATCATCATCATCATTATCATCATCATCATCATCATCATCATCATCATCATCATCATCATCACCATCATGTTGTTGTTGTTGTTGTTTTGTCGATGTATTATTATGTTCGTATAGTTAGTGTTTATCGGCACTCGAAACTAGGCATAAGGTCATATGAGCGGTCGGGACGCAGGAAGCATTTTCAATTTGGTAGGAATTAATTTTGAATTTCCCCGGGTGGCGGCTGAAGTCTACTCTTATCGATTTTAGGAACACCAAGGGGTCTTTAAGGTGCGCAACATGCACATGGGACCTCCAAGATTTTTTTCGGTCTCATCCAATAAGGCTAGATGTTTGATCTTGCCCACCCTAGGATCACGGGTGTGGCTGAAAGACAACAATAAGAAGGAGCCAAGACTAGCAGAAAAAATAGTCGGGAGCCCCCGAGAAAGGTGTGGGGGGCAGAAGGTGGAGATGAAAGCAAATGACATAACATGATTAGAGAGCAGGAAAGGTGGTGGAAGGATAAATGTTGTAGAGTTTAATTGTAGGAGGGTTTTTTTTAGGGAATCTCTAAGGTCCCTGCGTAAATTAGTTTTGCTGAAAAGAGATGCAATTGGCATATGTGATTTTACAGCAACAACAGCCGAAGTGCGCATCAATGAATCTGCAAAAGCAAAAGTCTTCAACATATAGTGTACAACCACAAGGGGGGGGGGGTCCTTTGTATTTTTTCTCCAAACGTCCTGAGCATCCAGAATTCTATTTCATTATTATTTTTATAGCTTCAACCAGACAGAATGGTGCATGTGTTCTACATGTAAAAATGAATGAGGCACTTCTCTCTGAGTGCGACGGGTAGACTGGTCCTGAAAAATTGTTGTTTTTCTCTGCTTATAATTGGCAGGGAATGGGTGAGTGGCGCTAATCTAATGGCTCTTGCTTGTCACAGAGTGAAGGCTGTCTTAGAAAAGAAGTTGAAAAGTTTTCTTAAATCGCATTGCGTGACACTCGAATGGGGATAGCTTTATGGTGCTGTCAGTTTGGTTGTTACTGTGTGCGTATGTATGTGTGTGAGTATGCGTGTGTGTATGTGTGTGTGTGCGTGTACGTGCGTGTGTGTGTGTGTGTGTGTGAGTGTGAGTGTGCGTGTGTGAGTATACGTGCGTATATGTGTGTGTGTGTGCGTGTGCGTGCGTGTGTTAATGTGTGTGTGTGTGGGTGGGTGTTTGTGTGTGTGTGTGTGTGTGTGTGTGTGTGTGTGTGTGTGTGTGTGTGTGTGTGTGTGCGTGTCTTGGTATTGTGTTTGTCAAAATGTCTTTTGTGTGTGAGTGTGTATGCGTGTGAGTCGCGAAAGAAAAAGACACTGGAAGAGAGACGCAAGGGGGAGGGGGCGGGGAGAGAGAGAAGGAGGAGGGGGAGGGAATAGAGATAAAGAAAAAGGTATTGAGACAGATAGACAGATAGATAGATAGATAGATAGATAGATAGATAGATAGATAGATAGATAGATAGA